TGTAATGAACTCCAAAATAAATTCTAATACTAATACTCTGTGGAAAAGTCACTCCATTAATAATGTAGTCAAATAGTCCCCATGTATCAAAAAGAACAAGTTTTCTTAAACAGAAAACTTTTGTATCCTATGCAGAATTTTTTTGCTGAGTAGTATTATTGTAGTCCTAACTGCAAGCAAACTAAATATAAAAAAAACTACAGAATTATTTGAGAGAAGTAGATATATTGGTGCTTTGAAGTGATGAGGTAATTTTTACCTACAGAATCTCTATCAGTTTAATTCTCCTCAAAACAAATCTTACCAACTTGAAGTTAATCTTAATCATTTGTTTCAGTGCTTTAAATCCCCATTCTCCTTTTTCACCTTCAAGTTCCAAAACCTAAAAAAAGGGAAGGAACTTTTAGTTTACATTACCATTAATACATTATACATTATTTTCTAATAACATCTAATGTTTCAGTTTGGATTAATTTTGTATCACATGCATAAGAACATTGCCCCACAGATTTCACTGTCTCGGTGTCATTTTTCAAAGGCTTAACAAAACCAGACAATCCTTACGATGCTCACTTAAGGATAAGTGAGCTTATTTTGAAGTTACTTCGTCCAAAGATTAAGAACTGCTTCTCAAGTATACAGTACTTAAGAGTACTTTTTCCTCCTAAATAATCTTTGGTAAAAATAATCCAAAAGTATATCAATATATCAAGAAATCAACTATTTATATTAGTAAAACCGTATCTGTGCAAGTTATACCCCCAAAGGAGGAACCAGACTGTAGTGATAATACCTACTAACCATCACACTGGTTTCCCTGTTCCATAGATAGCTTGATTAGAAAAAATAACAGGATAACTTTTTTGAAATATTTGTTTATGCTGCATAATGCAAACTTACTTTATAGGACAGAATTATCACTAAGTATTCAAAATACATTTCTGAAATAAAATCACTTCGGACTTATTTGACCTAATATATCATTAAAAACAAACTTTAAGAAATAGAATCAAGTAGAAAAAAAACAAACCTTTTGGAAACTGCTTAATGCTGCTTTTGGGTCATCTTCTTTTAACGCTTTGGAATTATAGTACTGATTTTCCAAATCCACATTTGGCTCAGAGTTACTATCTTCAGAGTATTCCTGTGTGTTGGAAAGAAAGAAATATTAGAAAAAAAGAAATTCATACATTGGACTTTAAAATGTGAATGCTGTTAAGATGGAAAAACCATACATTTATACAAAACAAAACAAGTTTGAATACATAAGTAAAATACCATTAATTTTTAATCATTATTTAAAATGTGGTGAGGGGAGTTAAGAGGAGGAGGATGAGGCAGCTAATTTAAAATGTGGTGAGGGGAGTTGGGAGGAGAAGAAGGAGGCAGCTAAAAGTAAGTGTATAGTAGAACAGAATTATTTTTTTCTTTCAGATCAAAACCATAATTTCCATAGAATCAACACACAAAAAAAGATGCAAAGAACTAATATTACTTAATGACCCCAATTTTGCAGTGGTTAAGCTTTCACTGGTCACAGAACCTGAGAAAAATCTAACACACATGTGTTATAATTAATCTCTGATTTTAATCTAACTTTTCTACTCCCTGAGCTAAATTTCACAGTTCTAACTTGGTCTAACCAGCTAGGATGGTAATCTACATATAATAGAGTATGTTAATAACAATATTTGTCTTATATGCATTCTACACCACAACAGCTGTTAATAACTAGCTTTATAACGAATCTAAATAAAACAAAATGGATTTATATAGTTTTATGAGATTTTCCATCACATGAATTCAGTTCTTAGGGAAAAAAAATAAGGCAGAGGAAAAACTGGAATAAAGCTATTTTTGTGGAGCAGTGTAAACAAGCTTTTTTTTTTTTTTGAGACAGAGTCTCACTTTGTCGCCCTTGGTAGAATGCCATGGCATCATAGCTCATAGCAACCTCAAACTCTTGGGCTCAAGAAATCCTCTTGCTTCAGCCTCCCGAGTAGGTGGGACTACCAGTGCCCACCTCAATGCCCAGCTAGCTTTTCTATTTTTAGCAGAAATGGGGTCTCACTCTTGCTCAAACTCCGGAGCTCAAGCGATCTGTGGTCAGCTTCCCAGAGTGCTAGGATTACACAGCCTGTAAACAAGTTTTAAATAGTTCTAAGATATTCAATCTAACAATGAGGATTACAAAATATACACAGGTTGATATAATGAAATTATTATTTTTGGAAGCTACAAGATAGAGATTATCTCTTTCTCACTCAAAGGGCAAGTTTATGTCAAATTAAAAATAGTACCTGAAAGTAATACACACAAAAAACTACAGAGTTATTTCTAAATCCAAATACAGTCAATAAATATCTTTTATGAGATATTTATGGAAAATTATATAGTCTTATAAGCATCAAGGTATGCTAAACATAGTGTTTAGAAAACTCAAAAATAGGCTCAG